GAGATCTCACGTCCGTTTCAGAGGAGAACGAAACATTTCTTATAAACGTGTGGAAACCTCTCCTTAACGGACGCATTTTAAAAACCTGAGACTGACAACGATACGTAATGAGTCGAAAAGAATAATATCTACTACCGGTGGATTTGGGCTATTACAAATGGTATCATAACCACTGGTCGAAGTAGGGCTAGACCCTTTCTATAGTCGACGCGTTTTAAAACTGTGAGGTTGACAACAATACGTAACGAGCTAAAGTGGACAATATCTGCTAGTGGTGGACTTGGACTGTTATATATAGTATTAGGGGATAAATTGTGAAATCTCACATCAGTTGAAGATGAGAACGAATAGAAATGGTATTAGAGCCAAGCACCAAGCAGTGTACCGACGAGGACGTTAGGTCCCCAAAGGGGATGGATTGTGAGATCTCGCATGAATCCGAGAGGATAACGAAATATTCCTTATAAATATGTGGAAATCTCTCCTTAGCAGACACGTTTTAAAATTGTGAGGCTGACGACGATACGTAACAGGTCAAAACGGATAATATCGACTAGTAGTGAACTTGGGCGGCTACGATCAGCCATATGAAATTTTTTTGTCGAATTAAGAACCTAAGATCCTTTAATTAATTTAATTGTCCATTAAAGAAGTCAAAAATCCATGTATTGCATGCGTGTAAGTATTAAATTAGGGGATTTTGTCAGCTTTCAATCTTGATTTGATAACTAAACTAACCAATACCTCATATTATTCTCTTCAAAAGTTGGCCAAACAATTCTTAATTTTTTTTAAAATAATCTTCTCATGTCATCTCACAATCCACCCACTTAGAGGTCCAGCATCCTCGTTGGCACACTACTCGATATCTGACTTTGATACTATTTGTAACAGCCCAAGTCCATCGTTAGTAGGCATTGTTCGTTTTGGCTCGTTATGTATCGCCATAAGCCTCACGGTTTTCCACACCCTTATAAGGAATGTCTCGTTCCCCTCTCTAATAGATGTGGGATCTCACAAATACGATATCCAAATTGAGGGTCCTACTTATTAACCATGCTACTTAATTTGCACAAACGACGAATGCTACTCAATTCTCGACCCATCTCGACCCATCTCCATTTAAGAGTCAAAAGTGAGAAGATAAGTTGAAATAGAAAAGTGGGTTAAAAGAAGAGGCTAAAATTAATGAAGCACAAAAGGAAGGATATAGAGATAAGAAAGAGTGAGAGAATCTAAGAAGGCATATTCAAAGCAACAAGAAGTAGAAAGATGCCAAAGGGCGATGGTGAAATAACCATTTTGTCTCCATTTTCTTAAAGAAAACCACTTTTTCTTTCAAAGTGGGTGACCACTACGACCACTTAGGACACTGTCCATTTTGCAGCACAACACTGCCTTTTTCTTTGGCTTAGACTCCTTGGAAGCTCCATCACGAAGAATATTTCAGCTTCCGTGATATCACACATTGGCTAAGAACGAGAACAAAACATCCTTTATAAGGGTGTAGAAACCTTCTCTTAGCATACTCATTTTAAAAGCTAAAGTGGACAATATCTGCTAGCGGAGAATCTTGGCCGTTACAAATGGTATCAGAGCCAAACATCGGATAATGTGTCAGCCTTCTTGTTGTTCCCCGAAGGGGGTAGACACGAGGCGGGATGCTAGTAAGGATGTTGGCCCCAAAAGATGGTGGATTTGGTGGCGGTTCCACATCGAATGGAGAAAAGAATGAGTGTTAGGTGAGGACGCTAGACCTCGAAAAGAGGTGGATTGTGATGTCTCACGTTGGAATGAGTAATAAACTCATTGAATTTGAATTTGGGTATTGAGAAGTGGAGGGTGAGAGCCTTGTTGCATAGTTCTAAGTTCATGAATATTCTTAGGTTTTTTTCTCATAAAAAGATGAACAAAAATGTCTATTGGCATCATACTATACAAATTTGTTGTTATTTGAAAGATGGGTTTTGTATAGTTTTTCGATCGAGTATAAAAATTCGTTTTTGCTTTCTATTTGCATGAAATTTAGACTTGTTTTATACTAGTTTTTGTTGTTTTGTTCGAAGGGGTAATATTGGACTATGAGGATAACTCGAAGTTACAAAGGAATTTAAAGACAAAACAAATAGGAAAAAAGATGTAATAGCTAAGTCCACGGCTAGCAGATATTGTCTGTTTTGGCTTATTACGTATAGTCGTTAGCCTTACTATTTTAAAACGCGTCTACTGAGAAGAGATGTCCATACCTTTATAAAAAATGTTTTGTTTCCCTCTCCAATTGAGATGGAATCTCATAAAAGGTAACAGGAGACAAATTTGAGCCAATAAAGAATAGGAGTAGAGAAGAATTTTGGGTGAATCTCAAATGCAACTCAAGGTCAAAACAGACCCTATTCTCGGCCTCTCAAAGAGAGCACGTATCACGCTTGCCCCTTGGCTTGTGGTCTATTGATTCCATCTGGTTTGGTTCATTTTTAACCTAACTCGGTAAGGAAAACATAAGAAACGTTAGAAAAGTTCCCATATAAATACTTTATGTCAATTTAGAGAAGATTTGCTCCCTCTATGAATTAACCAATGACCAACATTTCAATTCTTTTTCCATTTGGGTTAGGCCGAACTTTTAAAAATTTGAAAATTTTATCAGTGATACTAAAAATATTACATATTTGAACTTTACGAAATTTGTATTATTAATAGAACATATATAGTTTATAAATACAACCCGACAATCCAATCCAACCCACTTAAAATAGAGAGTTGGGTTGGACTGTAAACTCTGTTCAGATGGTTCGGATGGCTCGGGTCACCAACTCGACTAACTCCAACCCAAAATTTCGGGACGCAACCCAATCTAACCTGTGTGCACCCATACTTAAAATGCTTAAATCCCGACATTTTATAAGAATAAGAATAGAAAAGTGATTATAATTTGAAAAGAAAGACAAAATGTTGTGAAAATGTCAAAGGTATAAAAGAACATGTGCATGTGTAATGAATGTGTTCATGATGAAACATAAGAATCAAACAAGCTGGTGGGTTTCCCATATGGCATACAATTACCCAAATCTCATACACCTTTTAACATTATAATATCAAAGACAAGAATCCAAATATATATTCAAAAGAAAAGACTTGGAAAGTGCTCATACACTTTCATTCACCTAAAAATCTGCCATGATCAAAGCTTATTAAACCTTTGAAATATAATCCTATCTTCAAAACACATGTGCCACTGCCAACCTTCTTCTTCATTAATATAACATTATTTCATTGATCCCTTACCCTTTTTTAGTCTGCCCATAATCATGATTCTAAATTCGAATTTATATTTGAAACTTTGGATCTAAATCTTTCCGGAAATGTTAGCTTCAATGTGTTTAGTATAATGCTTAGATGTTCGGGTTGTTTGATATTTCACAAGCTAAATTTGTGAACCTTGAAGTTAAGATACTATTAAAGAACGAGTTCAATGATGATAGGTAGTAGTAAAGTACTTAGATGTTCTGGTTGCTTGGTATTTCATACGCTATGTTTGTGAACCTCGATGTTAAGATACCAATAAAAAAAAACGAGTTCAATGACGATAGATAGTAGTAAATCGCTTAGATGTTTGAGTTGTTTTGTAACCGTCTAAGCCCACCGCTAGCAGATATTGTAACTTTGGGCTTTCCCTTTCGGGCTTCTCCTCAAGGTTTTAAAATGCGTCTACTTATAAAAAATGTTTCGTTCTCCTCCCCAACCGATGTGGGATCTCGTTCCCTTCTCCAATTAATGTAGGATGTCCCGATCCACCCCCTTCAAGGCTTAGCCTCCTCACTGTTACATCGTCTGAAACCTGACTCTGATACCATTTATAATCGTCCAAGCTCACCACTAGTAAATATTGTCCTCTTTGGACTTTCTCTTTCGGATTTTCTCTCAAAATTTTAAAACGTGTCTCCTAAAAAGAGGTTTTTACACCCTTATAAAAAATGCTTCCGTCAAAATTCATATTCATTTAAGGGTTTAATTTTGAAATTTATATCATCATTTCATTCCACCATTGACAACATCTCTATGTGCTGTTTTGTTGGCTTCACTCACTACGTTGGGTTTGGTATCTTTGTCAACAGACATGTCTTTTATGACAAAAAAAGGCAAGCTTTTGTTTGTCAATGGACATCATTTTTGCTAATCCTAATCCACTTGACGGAACAAAGACATCCCTTCGATAGGGACAAGATTGAATGAAATTACTCGACTTTTAGAGGAAAAGATGCTACTCGATTGATGGGGAGATTTGAACCTCCATCGAAATTGCTTTCCTAACGAAAATTTGTACTCCATAACAATAAGACTTGAAGAACGGAGGATAAAGTGAGGGGATATTGAAGAATGGATGAGGCGTCACCAATTATCTCCAAATTTGCTAGAACGAGTTCGGTAGTTTGTTCAATGTAAACAGTTGGCCACGAGAGGTGTTAAGAAGAATTTATATTGCGGTCATTGTGAAGCAGCCTTCGTCTTGAGATTCAACAACATTTGTGTTTGTCATTCATGGGTCTTGTGCCTATTCTTAAACTCATTTTCTTGGTTCATCATAGGTTTTTTTTTGAGTTGTTGTTTAGATTACAAATTTAATTCGTTTGTGGGAGAGAATGATCCACTTAATGAGAGATAGGGGTGTACATCTAACTCGGCAACCTGACAACCCTAACCAACCCAATCCAGGGTTGGGTTATTTTTTCTGCTGGGCTCGGTTTCGTGTTCATGGGACAAAAACATCGGGTTGACCCGCTAATATTCAAGTTTATTCGTTTCAATATTTTTTTTTTCAATGATCCTAGATTGATTTGTGTTTTTTTTTGTACTCTTAAATGTCTTTTAGATACAAATTCTCCACAGAGAAATAATAATAATAATAATATATATATATATATATATATATTATTAAAATAAAATCGGAAAAATCCCTAAAACTACGGAAGATAGCCGTTCGTATCGTCGACGGTTTTCCACGGTCAGAGTCAAATGGTCTTCAGAGCCGTTACCCCCCGCTTATTCGGACGCCAGCTGTCTCAGCTCCCGCGGGGATCATATATATCCCTCCCGCACTCATACTCTCTTCTTCAGGACACATTCTCACACTAGAACGTTCATTGCCGAATTCAACCGCTAGATAATTACCAAGCAATCGGAGGAAGAGAGCAGAATCGAAAGGAGTTTATCGCCTGATCCCGATGATGAAAAATAGAGGTAATGTAAGATTGACTACTCTGTTCTGGGTTGAAATTGTTAAGGCACGGCTGGCTATTCCGATTTAGGGGTTTATTGGAGAAATTCAGAGGTTATTCTGATTTAGGGGTTCACTCGAGCAACTTCAGAGGTTAATCGAACGATCGGATCGTTCTTTTTCTTTTTTTGCCTGTTATCGACACTTTCTGTATTTTTCGTGGTTTCGATTATGGAGGATTAGGGCGTTTTTAGTAGGTTCATTGATCGTTCCCATGGTTACGTGATTATTGTCTTGTATTCTTCGTTTCATTCCCATCATCTTCTATCTCTTCTCTGTGTGAGGAGCCAGGGAACAAACCTGATATTCAAATTTATGTGTTGGCAGAAGAGAAGAGAACGGCGAACTCTTATGTCATTGCGATTGGTTCCGATAACAGAGTGCGGTAGAACAAAGCAGTTGCTCTTGATGAAGCGATTGCTTGGGCAAAAGAAAAAACAGTTGGTCCTGTCAATTCAGGCCGGTGGGATTTTCGCATCTGCTAGGAATACTGGTACGATTCCAAGCCTAAGGCTGTGAAGTTGAATTTAGCTTTATTTTTAGCTTTCTAATTTGTTGGCTGTGAAGTTGTGAATTGTAGCTTTAGCTGCTTTATTGATTTTCGGTTTTACAACTCTTGAAAAAAGATGTACTGAAAGTAAATGATGAATCAAAAAGCCTAATATCATGAAAGTCGTTTGTCTTAAGGAAGAAGTTCTGCAGGGGCCTCCCTTGCTCAATGAAGAACCATGGAATTACTGTCCTTTTATCTTCCATAAGTTCTTCACCATATTTTTTGAGGCAGCAGTTAAGAAAGCTCCAAAATGTAAATGTTGCTAGGTTGGGTTGCAATGAAATAAACTACATTACAGAATATAGAATCTTATCGGCACAGTTACCATTCTGTCGAGCCAGTTTAGACAATACTTCTTATAGAACTTAGCCAGAATTGAAGGAAAAAACAGTTGGCTTGTATTGTAAAATTTACTGTCATGCACTATTGTTGTCAGCTTATTGATCTTTGGTTTACAATTGTTTGCTTATGGATTATGTCAGCATCTGACTGCAAGTTCTGGAAAGTTTGATTTTTAGATGTTATAGTTTTCAGTATTTGATTGTCTTTCAATGTTAGAGTGTGTCCATATTTCTTACAATAGTATTCCATTTTCTGAACTTGCACAGATTTGCATTTAGATTCATCTAAATGATCAAGCAAGATGTACTCTTCTCCACTTTTAAACAATGTCGACTATGTTCGCGTTCATAATATTTGGGAGTCTGTATGAGTATTTATAGCTTTTTTTCCTGCTAGTGGATGATTTGATGCACTTTTTTTTTTAATTTGCATGTGATTTCAACATAAATGAAGGGTTTCATTTTTCTTTTCAACCACTTGAAATTTTGAGAATGAGCTTTTGGATTCAAAATTTTCTCTTACGAACATTCCTCTAGGTCATGATGATGAACGAACCATATGAGATATATACTAGTGTCTGGATCAATTTTTGAGACTGATTTGAGTCTAGGGCAAAATGGTGAAAATCAATTTGTTGAAATCGAAGGTACTTTCTTTGTTCAACTTAATGATTTGTCTGAATTGAAGATCAATGCATAATTATTTTTTTCATTAATAATATCATGCAGGACGGTCCGGTTCATGTAAAGTTTGTTGTAAACAATTAGGGATGCATGAAATATAACCATACAACCCACTAAGGTAAGCCATTGCTTCTACAAAACTTTTATCATTCTATTTACCGGTCAAACTTTAACAAAAATAGTTAATGTTCACTTTTAATTGTTTCAAATTATCCGTATCTCATTGGTTTGACATTATTGTTCATATTTCCTTTGCTATTGGAGAAGATTTTGATTAATAACCATGTTAATAAAATTTCAGATGGAAATGGAGGACAAAAGTTGAGGTCAAGGAATCCAACTCTGGTTGCTACATTCAACCCTCCATCACGTAAGAAGAAAGGTCATCCACCATACAAGTGTTGGAGAAGACCTAACGCCTTCTACTCCAAATGCAATCAACTTGGACATGAAGCCGTGATCTGTAAAGTCAAAGATCAGGTGAAAGAAGTAGATGCACAGGTAGTTGATCAAGAAGAGGAAGAAGAAGATCAATTGTTTGTGGCCACTTGTTTCTCAGGCAAAGAATCAAGCGAGAGCTGGTTGATTGACAGTGGGTGCACAAATCATATGACGTATGACAAGGAGTTTTTTGAGGAATTAAGAGACACTGAAGTCAAGAGAGTGAGGATTGGCAACGGTGAACACTTGGAAGTCAAAGGAAAAGGCACAGTAACTATAACAAGTTATGAAGGTACAAAATTTATTCCAGATGTTTTATTTGTACCTAAAATTGATCAAAATCTCTTAAGTATTGTTCTTTTATCACTATAAAGTGTTGTTTGAGAATGAACAGTGTTTGATCAAAGATTCTAGTGGAAAAGACTTGTTCAATGTCAAAATGAAAGGAAAAAGTTTTGCTCTAAATCCGATGGATGTAGAGCAGATGGCCTTTATATCCAAAGCTAGTGCCACTGAGATTTGGCACAAAAGACTTGGGCACTTTCATCATCGAGGTTTGCTTCAGATGCAGTCAAAGAAGCAGGTAGAAGGACTCGCTGACATTAATGATGACATGCCTCCTTGCCGTGTTTGTAATTTTGGGAAGCAACATAGGCAACCCTTTCCTAAACAAGCATGGAGAGCCTCGAAAAAATTGTAGCTAGTTCATACTGATCTTTGTGGTCCTCAGCGAACACCATCATTAAATGGTAATCTTTATTACATTATTTTTATTGATGATCTAACAAGAATGTGTTGGATCTTCTTTATGAAGCAAAAGTCAGAGGTTGCGGGTGTATTTTGGAAATTCAAGGCTAGAGTTGAGAATGAAAGTGTATGCTTGATTCAAACGGTAAGATCAGATAATGGCAAGGAGTACACTTCAGAAACTTTTAACAGGTTTTGTGATGAGGCTGGAATTGAACATCAGTTGACAGCACCATACACTCCTCAACAGAATGGCGTCAGTGAAAGGAGGAATAGATTCATAATGGAGATGACGAGATGCATGCTTCATGAGAAGGATCTTCCAAAATGTTTTAAGATATGTACTGCTGTGTACCGAGGAAAGAAGAACTTAAAACCCAAAGAACCTGCCTTATTCAAAAGGAACAAAAGGAACATCTAAGCTACCGACCTTCATGGAACAATGATGGTTCTATTAAGGTTTTTTGAACATAAAGACGATAAGCTCTACGATGTAGGGAAATACAAGGATAACCAATGAAGGCTTGACAATCTCAACAAATGATGTTAAGAAGACAATCAAAGAAACAAATGCCAGAATAAGTACATGCCTTAAGGCATAAGTTAAGAACTAAAGGACATAAGGGCTGATTATAAGGATTATGGACGACCAATGGATATTACAATAATTAAGGAAGGTCTTGTAATACCGATAAAAGAAGAACTTAAGACCCAACAAATCTACCTTGTACAAGACGGTACAAAAGTAACATCTTAGCTACGATCTTGAAAGAACAACACTGATTATGTTAAGGGTTGTTTAACATAAAGATGTTAAGCTCTATGATACAGGGAAACATACGGATGACCAAGGAAAACTTGACATTCTCAACAAAGGATGTTGAGAAGACAGTTGAAAGGAACAAATGTCTGAACAAGTACATATCTTAAGACATAAGTAAAGCCTACAAAGGCTGATTATAAGGATTATGGATGGTCAATGGTAGTTACAAAAATTAAGGAAAGTCTTGTAATACCGAGAAAAGAAGAACTTAAGACCCAAAGAACCCGCCTTGTACCACAAGGAACAAAAGGAACATCTAAGATAGAATTTGACAAACTCAACCAAGGATGTTGAGAAGACAGTTGAAAGGAACAAATGTCGGAACAAGTACATGACGTTGGGCATAACCAAAGAACGTAAGGCCACAAGGGCTTATCATAAGGATTATGCAAGGTCAATGGTAGATACAAGGATTTAGAAAGGCATTATAATACCGAGAGAAGAACTTAATACCCAAAGAACCCGCCTTGTACAAGAAGGAATAAAAGGAACAAAAGGAACATGTAAGGTACGACGTTGAAGGAACAACGTTAATTATGTTAAGGTTTGTTGAACATAAAGATGATAGGCTCTATGATATAAGGAAACATAGGGATGACCAAAAAAGACTTGACAATCTTAACAAAGAATTTTAAGAAGACATTCAAAAGGAACAAATGTCGGAAATAGAAAATGTCTCGAGGGATGCGCTAAGAATTAAAGGCCACAAGGGCGGATAATAAGGATTATGGACAACCAAGGGTAGTTACAAGGATTAAGGAAGACCTTGTAATACCGATAAAAGAAGAAATTAAGACTCAAAGAACTCGCCTTGTACAAGATGGAAAAAAAGGAACATCTTAGCTACGACCTTGAAGGAACAACGTTGATTGACTTGTTGAATATAAATAAAGACAATAAGCTCTACGATCTAGGAAAACACAAGGATGACCAAGGATGATTTGAAAATCTCAAGAAAAGATGTCGGGAAGACGGTCAAAGGGAACAAATGTTGGAACAAATACATGCTTTCAGGCCTAAATTAAGAATTAAAAGCCATAAAGGCTGATTATAAGGATTATGACGGCCCGGGGTAGTTACAAGGATTAAGGAATGCTTTGTAATACCAAGAAAAGAAGAGCTTAAAACCCAAAAAAGCCGCTTTATACGAGGAGTAAAAGGAACATCTAAGCTACGACCTCGAAGAAGCAACGTTGATTATGCTAAGGCTTGTTGAACATAAAGACGATATGCTCTACAATATAGGGAAACACAAGGAGGACCAAGGAAGACTTGACAATCTCAACAAAGGATGTTGAGAAGACAATCAAAAGAAACAATTATCGGAACAAGTACATGCCTTAAGGCCTAAATTAAGGACTAAAGGCCCTAAGGGCTGATTATAAGGATTATGGATGGCCAAGAGATGTTACTAGGATTAAGGAATGCCTTATAATACCGAGAAAAGAAGAACTTAAGATCCAAAGAACCCCTATACAAGAAGACCTTGTTATACAAAGAGAAAAGAACTTAAGACACAAAGAACTCGCCTTGTACCAGAAGGAACAAAAGGAACATCTAAGATAAGACTGGACAATCTCAACAAAGGAGGTTGAGAAGACAGTCAAAAGGAACAAATGTTGGAACAAGTGCATAACTTAAGGAATAACCAAAGAATCTAAGGCCACAAGGGCTTATTACAAGGATTATGTAAGGCCAAAGATAGATACAAGGATTAAGGAAGACTTTGTAATATCGAGAAAGAAGAACTTACGACCCAAAGAACCCGCCTTTTACAAGAAAGAATAAAAGGAAAATCTAAGATACAACCTTAAAGGAACAACGTTGATTATGTTAAGGCTTGTTAAACATAAAGACGATAAGTTCTACGATATAAGGAAGCACAAGGATGACCTCGGAAAACTTGACAAACTCAATAAAGGATGTTAAGAAGACATTCAAGAGGAACAAATGTTGGAACTAGAAAATGTCTCGAGGGATAAATTTAGAATTAAATGCCAAAGATGGATACGAGGATTAAGGAAGACCTTGTAATACCGATAAAAGAAGACTTCAGACCCAAAGAACTAGCCTTGTACAAGACAGACAAGAAGGGAAAAATTATAAAAAAATGAACAAACTATTTTTAGAAACCATTTGGATTTTTCAAAATAAATATTCAAAAAGTGGCAAAATACCAAAATACCCATGTTGTTCCAATTATTTACAATAATACCCTTGGCCAGAAAATCTTTCCTAGATTAAGGTCAGCTGGACAAAATCTTCCATATCTCAACATTCAACCATATGATTTACCCTAAATTTGGATAAAATCTAGAAGACTCAGATATCTTCAGATCCAACAGTTGGTGTTCAAGGATGATGTCGGGAACACCCGACATCGGAGTAGATTATTCCTACCTGCCAGAAACTTTAAATATAAATTCAGCATCATTATGATGTTTCAAGGTTGATGCAAGCTTTATCTACAAATAAGAAGATATGGGCAACATTTAGGGACAAGAGTGAGAGCTTGAGAGTACAAGGATTAATAAAGGGTAAGAGTAATTACAAGGATTAAGGAAGACCAAGGAAAGAACTTAAGACCCTAAGAACCAGCTTGGTACAAGAAGGAACAAAAAGAACCTCTAAGATAATAGAACCTTGAAAGAACAAGGCTGATTATGTCAAGGCTTTTTGAACTTAAGGAAGAAGATAACGGTTGGTGTTCAAAGTTGAAGTCTGCAGCACCCTCATCGGAGTAGATTTTTTCGCTGGACCTTCCATAATTTTCAAGTTTAAAATCAACACCATTCTAGATGTTTCAAGGTTGGTGCAAGCTTCATCTACAAATAACGTGATGTGGGCAATGTATAGGTACAAAAGTAGAGGCTAGAGAGTACCAGGGTGGTTATAAGGATTAAGGAAGACCTTGTAACACCAAGGAAAGAATAAGGGCATGTCAAAGAATGAAAACCCTATAAAAGGATCCTCAAGAAACTTGGAATGTTCTAACGAAGGGGAGAATTTGCAAGACCCCAAGTAAGGTTAAGACATTCGATTAAGGGGACCCAAAAAAGAGATTCTCAATGCCCGAGAGGGATGGAAAAGGTTTGGAAATGAAATAGTTAACTTAAAAGGTAAAAAGGTTGTAATACCAAGAAAAGAACTTAAGACCCTAAGAACCCGCCTTGTACAAGAAGGAACAAAAGGAGCCTTTAAGATACAACCTTGAAGGAACAACGTTCATTATGTCAAGGTTTGTTGAACATAAAGAATAAGATAAGCTCTAAGATATAAGGAAACAAACGGATGACCAAGGAAGACTTGTCAATCTCAATAAAAGATATTGAGAAGGCAGTCAAAGGGGGTAAATGACTTAAGGGATAAGTTAAGAACTAAAGGCCACAAGGGCAAATTATAAGGATATGTTGGAGAAGTTCAGACCTATAAAAGGACCTTCAAGAAACTTGGAAGGACATAACTAAGGACAAGTACCCTAAAGCAAGGTAAAAACAGTGAACTTTCAAGGACGAAAGTTCTCAAGAGGGGAAGAATTTGTAAGACCCCTAGTAAGGTCAAGACACTCGAGTAAGTTTAAGGGGTGCAAGAAAGGTTTAAGGGATCCAAAAAAAAAGATTAAGAGACCAAAAGAAGGTTAAGAGGTCCAAGGAAGAGATTTTCAATGTCCTAGCAATGTGTTATAAGCATCTTTTCTCAAATTTTTAATTTCTTATGGAGAAGAAATTTCAAGATGATCCAGAAGGGAAAAATGATTGGATTTTCAGAAATCTTTCCAGATTGGTTTACAGCAGGGGTCATCTGGACAAAATCTTTCATATCTCAAAGATTCAACTATTGGATTTGTCCCAAATTTAGATATGATCTAGAAGACTCATATATGTTCAAATCTAACGGTTAGTGTTGAAAAATGACGTCGGAAACATCTTCGTCGAAGTAGATTTTTCCAATGGACCTTCCAGAAGTTTCAAGTTTAAATCAGCACTATTCTGTATGTTTCTAGTTCGTTGCAAGCTTCATCCACAAATAAGAAAATGTGGGCAACGTATAGGGACAAGAGTGGAGGCTTGAGATTACAAGGATTAAGGAAGGCTAAGGGTAGTTACAAGGAATAAGTACAACACCAAGAAGAACTTAAGACCCTTAGAACCCCTTTTGTACAAAAAGAAACAAATGGAACCTCAAAGATACAACCTTGAAGGAACAATGTTGATTATGTCGAGACTTGTTGACCATAAGAAGATAAAGCTCTAAGATCTAAGAAAACTCAAGGCTGACTCAGGAAGAAATATGGTACTTTTTTAGAACGGTCTATAGGTTTCCTTGACGAATTAAATGAGATGATATCCTTTCTTTAATAAGAAAAAGATCCACTTAGTGGTAAATGAAAGACTATATGTTCGACTAGATAATAGGAAAGCGAAGAATTGTTTGGTAAGGAAGGAAGGAAGATAAGTTTGGGTACGAGTACTTTGTTTACTTTATAATCTGAGAAAGAAAGGGTGCATTTACAATTAAATACTAGGGGACAGTCAGCTACCTTGTGTGGAAGTCATGGCTTGGTCACCTTGATGAATGCAAACCAACTTGTCATGTGAGCAAGAAATTATTTGGCAATGTTAGAAAGGGAAAGAGAGAGAAAATGAGGTCTTTTGGGAAAATCAACCGCAAAATCACGAGAATTTTATGCTCAAAGTGGACAATATCATACTATTGTAGAGGTCGTGGTTCCTAACACTCCATGAAGGCTTCAACCCCAATCTGCATAAATATGCTATAATTTGAGAATCACATGATTTAGGTTTGCATAAACTATGTTTTGAAGTTTCTTTTTCAGTTTGCTAATAATGCATGAAATCTCTGGATGTCGATGTGTTACATCTTGTAGAGCCCCCATTGCACTTATATAAACTTTAGGATTAGTCATTTACCTGTCCATCGTGTGATGTACTGTAGGAGTAGAACAAGTTTCCTTTTCAGTTTGCTAATAATGCATGAAATCTCTGGATGTGTATGTGTTACATCTTGGAGAGCCCCTATTACACTTATATAAACTGTAGGATAAGTCATTTACCTAGTCATCATGTGTTGTACTGTAGGAGTAGAACAAGCCTTAAAATAACGTATTTTTCTTATCCACAGTAACTTATGTGTTTGAGCTGAGATCCTAGGAGTTGAAGAGGAGTGGTAACTTCAACTGATAGAGACTTATATATGTTGTATGTTGACTTTTTCTGAAACATTTCCTATTGATTTTGTTGATGGAGATGGATGGTTAGAGCTGATGTTCTTTTTCAATAGCATAATCAAAATATAGTATTGAACAGATCAGCGTAACTATTGAGTTTTATGATGTACTCAATGGAGTTCGTCATTGATCTTGCAACTATGAGACATAACTGATGTGTTTAAGCTGAGATCCTAGAAGTGGTAGCTTCAAATGATAGAGAATTTTGTATGTATGTTGACCTTTTCTAAAACATTTCCTATTGTCTCTGTAGACGAAGATGGATGGTTATAGTTGATGTTCTTTTTCGATTAGCATAATCAAAATATAGTGTTGAACAGGTCAGCGTAACTATTGAGTTCTATGATGCACTCAATGGGAGTTCTTCATTGATCTTGCAACTATGAGACATAATTATGAGACATAACTGATGTGTTTCAGCTGATATCCTAGGAGTGGTAGCTTCTAACTGATAGAGATTTTTGTATGTTGTATGTTGACCTTTTTTGAAACATTTCCTCGTAACTATTGAGTTCTATGATGCACTCAATAGAGTTCGTCATTGATTTTGCAATATCAGACATAACTGATGTGTTTGAGCTGAGATCCTAAGAGTGGTAGCTTCAACTAATAGAGACTTTGATATGTTGTGTGTTGACCTTTTGTGAAACATTTCCTATTGTTTTTGTAGACGGAGATGGATTGTTAGAGCTCATGTTCTTTTTCGAATAGCATAATCAAAGTTTAGTGTTGAACAGGTCAGCGTAACTATTGAGTTCTATGATGCATTCAATGGAGTTCGTCATTGATCTTGCAACTTAAGACATAACTGATGTATTTGAGCTGAGATCCTAGGAGTGGTAGCTTCAACTGATAGAGACTTTTGTATGTTGTATGTTGACCTTTTCTAAAACATTTTCTATTGTTTTTGCAGACGGAGATAGATTGTTAGAGCCAATATTCTTTTTCGAATAGCATAATCAAAGTTCAGTGTTGAACAGGACCGCGAAATCCCAAAGTACTCACACATCTTGATTGACCCATGGTTAGTTCCCTTTGTATTTTGCATTATATTTATGAATTAATCATCCTAGTTTTGGTAGGATTTGAGAGTTCCAGGTTCGATATTTGGTGGCTATGTCCTATAGACTTTATAGTGACTCGATAAGTTGTAGTTTACAAATAGTTATGCCCTAACAAGTATTATAATGTTTTAGTAAGCCTGAGTAAGTACTGATAATGTTTTGGTGGATGGATTGTAAGTCGTGTCATTAAAGAGTTGATTAGCAATATTTTTATAATTGAGTTTTCTCGTTTGTTTTTTTTAATGATACACAGAGGATGAGATTATTTTACCAACAGTTATAAACTAAAAGATGACATGTTTGTTCAGTTTACAATAGTGATATTTATATCGATAACTCAAAAAATTCAGATTACTCAATCCAATCAGGGTTTTACAATAGTGATATTCATATCGATTACTCAACAAATTCAGATTACCCAATCCAATCAGGGTTTTACAATAGTGATATTCATATCGATAACTCAAAAAATTCAGATTACCCAATCCAATCAGGGTTTTACAATAGTGATATTCATATCGATAACTCAAAAAATTCAGATTACCTAATCCAATCAAGGGTTTTACAATAGTGATATTCATATCGATAACTCAAAAAATTCAGATTACCTAATCCAATCAAGGGTTTTACAATAGTGATATTCATATCGATAACTCAAAATTCAGATTACCCAATCCAATCAGGGTTTTACAATAGTGATATTCATATCGATAACTCAAAAAAATCAGATTACCTAATCCAATCAAGGGTTTTACAATAGTGATATTCATATCGATAACTCAAAATTCAGATTACCCAATCCAATCAGGGTTTTACAATAGTGATATTCATATCGATAACTCAAAAAAAAAATTCAGATTACCCAATCCAATCAGGGTTTTACAATAGTGATATTCATATCGATAACTCAAAAAATTCAGATTACCTAATCCAATCAAGGGTTTTACAATAGTGATATTCATATCGATAATAACTCAAAAAATTCAGATTACCTAATCCAATCAAGGGTTTTACAATAGTGATATTCATATCGATAACTCAAAATTCAGATTACCCAATCCAATCAGGGTTTTACAATAGTGATATTCATATCGATTACTCAACAAATTCAGATTACCCAATCCAATCAGGGTTATACAATAGTGATTCATATCGATAACTCAAAAAATTCAGATTATCCGATCAGGATCTGGTCCGTTTTTCAAGTTAATGGTCTTTTAGAAATAATTAAAAAAAAAAAAAAAACTCCTAAAATCCAATCAAATCCAACACAAAAATAGATGATTCTTTTGGGTTGTGAAAGTACATTTTCCATCCATTTTAAACGTTTATAAAAATTGGGAAGATTTTTTAAATATAATATACAATTTTTTATTTATTAAGTTATTACCTTGAAAACGTGCAAAAACGAATACATTAATTGGTCAATCTTTACTCTCACGTGACTTTTATTATTATTTTTTTTTTTGCAACTTTTATTTTTTTCAAATAAGATGGGCAAATATTTTAAAATATCTTCACTCTTCTAAAAAAAAATCTAATTCAATTAATTCCCTTTGATTTTTAATTAAATTATTAATTTATTAACCTATTTACACACGTGCACACTTTGACCTTCCATTGGAAAAAATTAAATTTTATTCATAGATGATAGAAATACTATAGGTTGAGTTGAGTCGACTGTGATATCTTTTATACCAACTAAATGTTTGAATTGTAAATTTTTTTAGTTGGGTTGGTTCTATTTTTTTCGGGCCATTTAAATTTGTGTTTGTGAGTTTTTAATATCATTTATCTAATTGTATTGAATAATTATGAACTATAGATTAATAAAAAAATTTAAATTTTCTTTTTTTAACAATCCGACCACCCAATCCGAAATCAGAGAATAGCTTTGAGTTGGGTCAAAAAAATCTTTCAACCCAGCCCAATCCGGACCATGTATACCCCTAATGAAAGAGCTCTACAACAAATGGCGGCCCATCCGGGTTCAACTCCAACACACTAAAACCAGGTGATTTTGTGGTGAAGAACTATTGATGTGGGCTTTGATGCCAAGTTCCAGTTTGAATATGCCTTCTTCTACTCATAACTGTCCGAATGCTTACAGAAGTTGAAGCCTTTTCTCTTCGAGCCGAGGACGACCTCATGTTCATTGCTGAGCAATTTAAACGCCTGCATGACAAGAGCTTCGACATACCTCTAGCTTGATTCTAGTAGCTTGGAGGAGCCTTAAGAAGAGAAGATTGGTAAAGACATCAGCATTGAGAGAGAGAGCTTATGCTACATAGATTCGATAGAACAAGATAGTGAATACGACAACGACAACACGACACAGATGACGATATGTCTTCTGCAGACTATATGAACAAAAGTATACATCTAAAGGAGTTCATGAAAGGGGCAAACATCCAAACCTTCCAGTTTGAAAATGCCAAAGAACCTGATTTTTCTATGAATGGATGACATGTTTACTTCTACCTTGCAGTTTATGGTCAATAGTCACACAACCTTGAAGCTCGACTATCTAGTTTCGAGTTATATCAACCTAAACCATGAGGTAAACACCCATTGAATCGTGGTACACGTACACAACTTGAAGACTAACTTGCCATCTTTATACCAAAGATGGATGTATAGATAGATACTGGAGGTGATTTTATGTGTAGCAAAACAAAGGAAAAAACATACATCTATGCCTAGAAATATTAACAAAAGATACCGTCCAAGCTCACTACTAGTAGATATTGTCCTCTTTGAACTTTCCCTTCCAGGCTTCCCCTCAAGGTTTTAGAACGCGTCTGCTGGGGAGAGGTTTCCACACCCTTATAAGGAATGTTTCATTCCCCCTCTCCAAGCAACATGAGATCTCACAATCCACCCTTTTTAGGGGGCCGACATCCTCGCTAGCACACCATTCAGTGACTAGCTCTGATACCATTTGTAACAGTCCAAACCCACTGCTAGCAAATATTTTCCTCTTTGGGATTTCCCTTTCGGGCTCCCCCTCAAGGTTTTAAAATGTGTTTGCTAGAGAGAGGTTTACACACCTTTATAAGGAATGTTTCGTTTCCCTCTCCAATCAATGTGGGATCTCCCAATAATATACTATGATTACTACAAACGTTTGAATGCACAAAACAATAAAATGATATCAATATATCCATAGGGAAACAAAATCAAGTATAGGCATAGAATATCTTGTTCCCTAAACCTCCAATTTTTGTATTTATAATATTCACACCCTCAATATCATAGTTTCAAGTGGATCTCAAAGAATATTGCAGTCACTATAAGCTATAGGCAGAAATAGCAAAAACTACACACTTCAACCGTATTTGCAGTACCTCAAAAGTTTTCAAAGAATTTACAAAGCAAACCAAAAGAAAGGGAAAGAATAATAGCTATCATGGATATACGCTAGCCGCGCTAAAGCTCCTCACATGGCTAGAGGTTCAAGAACAATGGGGGGGGGGTACATCATATTGAAGTTTCGATATTTTCATCATTACTAAGCTTCAAGAACTCGAGACAATACCTTCCCGAGAGACGTTCTTGACGCGAAGGACAGCTTGTGCACTTAAAGGGGAGAGCTTTGATTGACAAAAGTCTTCCCAAGAGCCTTTCTCTGGATCTTCAGGCGTTGTCGTTGGGAGGTCGGTGAACTTCTCGTACACAGATTGCAGCTCCACGAGGAGGATTCGAGCTGCCTCCCTAGACTCGGGAAGCTGGTCACTGAGCTGGGATGCTGCTGTTTGAATCAATTTGTCGATTCCATATGCTTTTATCCCTTCAACACCCTATCCATAAATATGTGTTATACAAGTGAGCAGAACAGATATGAAAGATTCCAGACATAGGGACAGTGGGAAATCAGACAATGAAACATGCGGAGGTAAATCAACAAAGAACAGAAGAAGACAGAAAAACCTTTAACAGTAAACATACAGCTGAGCAACATAGGAACAAACGTTTGGCATATCTAAGGCATATACAATTTGTTTGCAATCACAAAACTAGATATCCAAAGATTGGGGCTTGAGAGATCTTGGGAGGAGATGTTGTTAGGATTGCACAACAACGCAAACACTCGATCTAAATGAATACAAAGAACAATAGAAAGAAAATGCAAGGAAGAATATTGGTTAAAGCTTTATATTGACGGTCGAGAATATAGAGGATACAGAAAAGTATATTTTCAAAGCACAATATATACATGGTTCAGTTTACTATCTATAGTTGTATCCAATACAACCATCTACTATATATGACTATCTACAACAGATGTGTTATCATGTGAAATTTAGTATTCTTTCGGTGCATCTGTCACGAAGGCTTTTCATAATTATTCTTTAGGTCTTATCCTCTCAAATCGGTCCTACTTTTGTTTACCGAATTTGGGGCAAAAGCTTTCCCTCCTCTTTTTGGGCTTTTTTATACATAAGTTTCTTTTATTTCTCTCATTGATATCGAGATTTCTCATTAAAAAAAAATGGGGGTAAGAGTCCAAAACTTCATGAACATAGAAACATGATGAACAAACAAGGTTCATGCTACGAATGAAGAAGCAAAATCCTCACCAGTCGTGGAACACTTCGACAAAAGCACATTGAAGCCTTGGCTCGAATTCTCGGGTTTCTATTCTTAAGATATGGTTCCAACTTTGGTAACAATAATGCAGGGGAAAACGAAGAAGTCATTGCTACCAGAGCTTTCTCGGCAGCTTCGCACACAAAACGTTTGTCTTGAGAAGACTTCAGAAGAAGCTGCAACAACTGCACTCCATTGAAGAAGTCATTCATAGCTCAGAAAAGAGATCTCCATTGAAGAAAAATGTAAGATAAAAAAGTTTAAACTCAAACAGTGCAAGTTACAGTTACCATGGGATCTAATGATTCAATCACTTCGTCATTATAAGCAATGAAAATGTCTGCAGATGTCATAAGGGCAGTTTTGCAGACAGCACTTCTAGGATTTTTCATTGATTTCACCAAAAGTGAGATCACGTCTCCCCTGCCACAAGAAAGTATAAGAAATAATACAATGAATCGAGTAAAAAAGGAAAAACCAAATGAATCGAGTAAAAAAGGAAAAACCAAATGAATCGAGTCACTATTGACGACTTACAGTATATCGAGCATGTCTTCCCTGTGATATATTGCTAGTCTTCTTGTATTATTCAATGCTTCACAAACCAAAACCCAA